CCATTTGAGGGCCAAAAACAGAAATAAAATCCCCCTCGCCTCCTCAGAGTGGACTAAAGTATGGCTCACAACTAACAAAGGATCTATCACTAGCTCCTCAGAGTGGACTAAAGTATGGCTCACAACTAACAAAGGATCTATCACTGTCGTTATATAGAGAGACAGTAATATGACAGTTTTGACCAACCCCAAACCCTGGACAAATTATTCATCAGCTTATGGAATCTTTAAAAATTTGATTAAAATATACAATTTAGTTTAGTGAATTCTGAAAATTAGCATCTGGCATACCCAATTTATCAAAAAGAAATTCTAATTTGTATTTTGATTCTAAATATTTTTTAATTTATTATAATCTTAAATGTTCTTATAAGATTAATTTTAATCTAATTCTTTACCTAACAAATTCTTTTGTATTTTAAAATCAATGAAATCATGATAATACATTTAAATTACTTCATTTTATGTTTTTTATAAGCAAATATTTTCATTATATTTTGATACTATAAATGATATTGAAAGAATCCAAGTTATAATAGACCCTGTATCTGCTAATATTTCTGATATTTTAGGATATTCAACCATAGTTATTATTTTTAACTAATCTAAATTAAAATGTAATAATTGGATTAATTCTTCCCCATAAATATTTTTTGAATATTCTTGATCATATTGAGCTGTAATAACTTATAAATCAGCAAGATATGTTTATTAATTTGAATTTGGCAATAAAAATCCATCATCCATACCCAGTTCTCCAACTTTTAAAACAAATTAATTAAAATAGAGTTGTCCTTTTATCATATCAAAAATGAAAAATTTAGGTATTTTTATAATCGATTTCGTTCTAGGATCAAATTGCTCTATATAAATAAACATTTAAAAGAAATTTGTTTGGTTGAAAAGTTGGTTAATTTTATCTTGATTAGCACATTTTGGATTACAATAACCAAAAACTAATTAATAATTAACTTATACACGTTTAGCTTAATTAACAAGGAGAGCTCTATAAATCTATAACTTTAATTAAAATTTTGTTTAATATTTTTCCATTTTCTAATTTTTCTTCACTGAAATTAAGTGGTATAATTTAAATCTAAATATTAATTAATTTTACATTTTCTATCTAAAGCAATAAGTTTTAATTTTGGTGCAAATATAAGATTTTGAGGATTGAAAGGATCTTTCGGGTTGTTGAGTGATTTCAAATAATTTATTTCTGCAAATACTCCATCAGGCTTTAATTTTTATTAATCTTGAATTTATTCTTAAAGAGATGTTACTTTATTGGATTACCAATCATAATATTAAAAGGAAAAGATCCTAAACTTACTCCATATAAAATTAAAGTTACTAATCCTCCCAAAGCACTTTATTAGGTTGGCTTAATTGGAGGAATTTGTAATTTTTGCTCAACTCCAAACTAATCAATTGATTATAAAAAATGTAGCATCTTATATATATTATATTTCAATCATATATCACTCAAATTTGCAAAGAAAAAAATGTTGGGGATTTCCTGACTTTTGATAATATAATTCAAGGATAAACTTTAATACTTAGATTTTTAGCTAATTGTATAAGAAATTTTGATTCCTTAAATACAAGTAAAAGTATCATTTGTAAGAAGATAATATTGGTAAGCTGTATTTATTTTTTGCATCATAAAGTTTTTAATTAAAATTATAATAATTATATTTAGATAAGTAATCATATAATTAAATATACTAAAAAAATTTTAAAAAAAGGTAAATTTAAAGGAACTTAGACTTAAATAAATAATTTTAATATTTTATTTGAAATAACTCTTCAACATTTTAATC